GGTCTGTTTTGCTGCCGCCCTAGGAGTCTAGGACAGATGTCCCATGTGTGGTGCACTGGTGCCCGGCCGGGATCCGCCGGCCCCGCGTCCCGCACCGCCGCACGCCAAACTGCCACGCGAAAGAGATACCCGACGGCCGACGCCGACGGGCGGGCGGGTGGTGGTCCCTTTCCGGCTTTCCCGACCGTTCTGCTCTGGCCGTTTGCATTTGGACTTTGGAGTTTGGAGGGAGGCGCTGGACCGGATAGATGACCCACCCCAAACCAAAAGCCGAGCCCGAGAGCGAGAGGCCACGACAGAGCATGCGCGCGCCCACGTACTCCTCCCCCCCCGCTCCCCCCCTCGGTTTTCCCCGTCCGTGCCGGCCCCGCTGCCCATCGTTTCCGGCCCGGGTCGACCGTTGCGCCGGGTAGCCAGGCTTTTGCTTCCAGCTTCTTCTGTCCTGTCCTCCTTCCAAATCAGGCAACATCAGTTGCGCGCCCTAGGAGTCCGTTGCACACCCTGGCCCTGGGTTGGGTGGGGCCTACTTCCTGTTTTTACACACCCTGGCCCTGCTAAGCTGCTCCTACAGCCTGCAGTGTCGATAAAGAGTTGCGATAGTTTTGCTCGATCAAGCAAAACCAGCTGGAAGGAAACAAAATCCATGCTTCCGGATAGATAGAGTATCTGTATTTCGTCTTTTTTTATTCACGGGAAGAGGAAGAATAGAAGATTCACGTGGTCGTGGTGCAGGCGAAGGCTCGCCGACTGTGCGGAGAGCATGTGGCAGCAGCGGCGCTCCTGCTGATCATCACGCTCACGCCCTGTCTGTGTGTGTCCTGGCATCTGGCAGGGGCTCATTAACATCACTGTAGTAGTGGTAACATGGTTGGTTAAAGTTTCAAAAAAAAAACATGGTCGGTTAATGATTATAGTTAGGTGCTGTTTAGTTCTCAAAATTTTGTAAAATTTTTCAAGATTTTTCATCACATCGAATCTTTGGACGCATGCATGAAGCATTAAATATAAATAAAAAATAAAACTAATTACACAGTTTAGACGAAATTCACGAGATGAATCTTTTAAACCTAATTAGACTATAATTAAACACTAATTATCAAATAACAACAAAAGTGCTACGGTACCATTTCTTAAAAAAATTTCGCCAACTAAACGAGCCTCTAGGCAATCGAGTGCGTGGTACAGATAGCACAGTACCTTGGATCGCGCACGCACTTCCACTCCGAGTACGCACTCATTAAGGGCGTCCCCAGGGATGCAGATCGCCAGCTGACTCGGATTTCATCCGTTGTGGATCGCCAAAATTCATTATCGCTACCGACGAACGAATCGCTAGTCTATTTGTTTGTACCGAGGCAAGCTGGCCCACCACCTGAGCTACGCACCAACCGGAAGGATGAAAAAAACTGACGCTGGACCCAAGTTCTTTGGAAACTGTGTAACCAAATATAGCAACGAATTTATATATATTATCTGGACACTAGCAAGCTGGCTCTATCAGCCTTTTCAGTTGGCTGGTTCGTGAAGAAGTACTACTAGCTAGTTTATGTGAGAGAAAAATATTGTTTCAGTTGAAAATTTACGATCGTTTACGACAAGCCACAACCAAACGAACAGGATAAATGGGGACGCCCTAAATTCCTCTCTGCATTGCATTGCAGAACGGAAAGAGGCGTTTAAAGAGCGGTTGACATGTGGGCCCACTCTTCCTATCCCACATGTGACGTGCCAGCGACTCATGATAAATCCTCTACAGTGTAGTCCTTCCCACGATTAGTCTGTTCGCTGGATGGTTTCTGGGCTAATAAGTCCGGCTCTACTGGTTTATTGTGAGAGAAAAATACTATTAACTAACTGATAAGATATGGCTGAAACCAATAAACGAACAAACTGGTATCCCTGAGCACGAGTACAACACCTTTGCATTGCAGCGCAGCAGCCTCCCTCTCCATCTCTTATGTTCACGGTCGTTGGTCGTTGCCATCAAAAGCCCTAAAGCGAGTGGTGCGACCATCCGCCTCCTCCTAATTCAGCCCACCGCCTGCAGTGTGTCTAGCGTCCAAGCCCCCCTCTGACGAGGGCCATTTTGAGTTTTGAGTGTCGCTGAAGCCAGCCCACTCCATCTCGTCCTACACACGTCCACAAGATTCAAGATGGCAGCGCACGTGCACTGATGGGTACTAGCCACCCGCACTCACTTTTCGCCAGATCAAAATCTTACCCGTCGGGTTACTCAGTACCCAGAAAGTGGTATAAAATTCATTCCATACTCACGCACCCTGACGGGTAATTCTTACCCGACGGGTAATTCTTACCCGACAATATACCCGAGTTCACACACCAAAATATAATAGCTTCCAGCAAAACAAATCAACAATAGAGCATCAAAACAGAAATATGGGCTGGTGGAATGGAGTGAGGATAAGGATTAGGGTTTGAGGGAGTTCTGGAATATATATACTCATATGCTTATATGGGCCAAATATAGGCTATATGCTTATATGGGCTAAAATTGCAGAGGTTGGATATTATTTATGCGGGTTTTTTTTACCCGCGGGTATGCGGGTATGGGTAGTATACACCCACACCCGTACCCGCATACCCGATGGGTACAAGAATTCGTCCAATAACGTACCCACGGGTGCAAAATATCTTCCATACCCGCCTCCTTATCGGGTAAAACCCGTCGGGTACTCGGGTTTCGGGTACCCGTTGCCATCTTGACACAAGATTAACAATTTAACAAGCTCTCATCCGAGCTCCTGCCCTGCCTCACATGGGCGCGCACGGTACCTCCTCTGGGCATCCGCCATGTGTGCAGTTAACACGCGTGCTAATCCAGATCAGTAGCAGTCGTCGTGCAGGATGCCGATGGCTTCTGCTCCCTCCGTCCACACAGAAAAGCCAATTCTCTTCTCGTTTTATATAAAAAAGTATCGTTTAATTCGTTAAAAAAAGTACTAACATTTACGATACAAAATAAATATCGTTTAATTCGTTATACAATATATTTTTATAACAAATCTATTTAAAGACATAAATATTAATCAGCATGTTCGCTTGCTCGTAAACTATCGTAAATTTTCAGCCGGGAACAATGTTTTTCTCTCACACCAAACCAGCCAGCAGTAAATAATCTATGATACGATACGGCCTCCCGAACAGGCTGAATATTATTTACTCTAATCTTGGTCAAACTTGAACTAGTTTGACCGACACGAATCCTACAGTTGCATTCTTTCCTACACTGAGGTCTTGTTTGGATGCACATATATTCATCTCAATTCACGTACGTCGAAGACTTAAAGTCGATTGGAATAGAATTAAACGAAGTTCTGTTCAATTCCGATCCTAAAAAGCGAGGGAGTGATGGTTTGGCTTGATTACACGATGTCCGGCTTGTTCGCTTGTTGGTTTCAGCCAGCCCAAACTAGCTAGCCAACAGTATTTTTCTCTCAAAAAACCAGCATCAGCCAGCCCAGATCAGCACCAACACCCACCAGCGAACAAGCCCGGTACTGGTCACTCTACTAGGAGTGGTACGACTCGTCGTGACAGACTGACAGGAGCTGCGTGCACCGCTGCTGTCAGTTAACTATTCCGTTCCATCTAATCTGATGTGGAGAAGATTTTTAGTCAGCAATTGTGTCGGGTGGAGTGGAGATTAGGGTGTGGGTGCCACTCTATTCTACGGTGATCAATTGTGCCAGTAGTATATTATTAGTACCTGTCACAGCTTTATTATCATTTAGAGCTCTATACTACTCCTACACGAGTCATGAGTGTGATTCTCCACCTGCATGTGAAGTTGGAGTGGGCATTTGGGGTGATGCACTGCACGTAGCGGTGCTACGCTGGACCTTTCTTCTTCATCTTTTTATTTTTCAATTTTTTGGCCCGTGGGGCCCACGCTCTGGTGGTGAGTGCACCACTAATTGTGTTCGTGTCATTGTGTGTGCCCAAGCGCACAAGCGTACAAGGGGAGCACAATCAATGCAGTTTCTTTTTTCCATTTCTTTTTTGCGCTTTTACTTCATGAGAAAGGGAAAAGTGTGGCTCGAATTAATTCAGCTAAAAGGAAGACGGATCATGCAAAACAGACGGTGGCTCCATGGTTCCTTAACTCCTCCAACTAGAGAAACAGAAGAGTACTATAGCTTATAACTCGATTCTTTTCCGTAGATCATAGTCATAAGAGTACCATTTCATATCTATATGGAATTAATATCAACACGGATGGCCTTCTTTTTAGCGCCGCAACAGATCAGGATACCAGGATGGCCAATCGTCTGCTCCAAAGAACCCTTTGGAAAAAGTTCCTATAGGTTTAAAATACTACAAAATTCCTCTATTAATCCTTTGTTATAATGTGGGCCTTAAAAAAGAAACTTGACTGAACAAAAGATCCTTGAATTCTGTTTCCCGTTTTTTCTGCACTTTCCACGGCCACCTGAAAGAGTTATAGAAATTTACACCCCACCCCTCACTCACGCGGTAATTGCACCACAAACTGCAATTGAAGAACTTAAATTTCCGGAAACAGTAACCGTTGTTGCTTCTTCACCCCGTATAAAATCTGGAATCCGACCACTACAGTAAAAGGCTTATTTTTACCCATTTTGGCTGCCAAAATTTCTTCACCATTTCTCGTGCATGCAATGCAACCGAATGATATACCTCATGAGTCATGGCCACCTGGCTTCTCCTCAGCAACAGCTCACATTTTTCTTTCTTCTCCACTACCTCCACCCAGCCCAGCTATCTTCCCCACCCCACCAGGCCACCACCACCACCACCACCTCTCTCTCTCTCTCTCTCTTCTTCCTTTTTCTCCTCTCTTTCTGATGCTTTGACGCCACAGCTCGCCGCTTTGGCCGCCTCTGCCTGCCTCCCACCATCTCCTCTGCCAGTGGTTAAAGCAGGGGGAGGAGCTGTAGGAGGAGAACAGAAGAAGAGAACAGAGAGAAGCGCAGGAGAGGGGGACCGAGGGAGCGGGCAAGATGTTTGACAGTTTGCTCAACTCCAAGTTCTACAACAAATGGTACAGAGATGTTTCCCGTTGATTCGGTTTGGTGCGTGATTGGGAGCTTCGGGCCCGGCTGCTCTCGAAGTTCGTTGCCTGTTTTTCTGGACAGCCGAGTTCGAAATCGGTTGTTTTGAGCTTCCTTTTGCCGACGATTTGTTCAGCCTTCCGATTTGCGCGGAGAAAATGAAGTCGAATGTTTAGCTGCATTCGGTCGCTTAGTCGGGTAGCTGCGTCCCTCGGTTCTTGCGTTCCTCGGATTCCGAATTGTTTAGTTCCACTTCTCATCTTCATCTGCGAATTCAAGGAACTGTTCCCCGGACTTGCGAGCGCCTTTCCCCCCTCCTTTTTGTAGCAGAGAATCTGGTCCTGTTCTCGATCTATGTTCTGCTTTCCTGCTGTTTGTCCAGATTCCTGCATTCTCGATTTGGCCTGTGTTTGTTTGATTTCTGCTATTCCCCCTCCTAACCGCTGAATTCGTTGTTTGGTGCAGCAAGCACGCAATCAAGTGCACCCGGACTCGGCTGGATCTGCTACGGCGGAAGAAGCAAGCCATGGTCAAGTTTCTCAAGAAGGACGTCGCCGACCTCCTCACCAACGGCCTTGAATCGCACGCCGTCGCACGGGTACTGTCTTCACTTCTGAAGGCTTGAATTTGAATTGTTTAGTGGTGTCGGACGGATTTGCGTTGGTGCGAATTTGACGAAATGGAAATATTCTTCGAAGCTGGATTGCACGAGAAATTTATGACGAAATGCAGAGCCATGTGATGGTGTTTGTAGTGATATGTTCCTGATTGCTATTACTTAGCTGTTTCCCCCTGAACTGCAGATGGAAGGGCTGATCGTTGAGATGAACCAAGCATCGTGCTATGATATGATAGAGCAGTACTGCGAGTATATTGTGAAGCTGCTCAACCACATGCAGAAAGAGAGGTAATTGTCAGTTGCCACCCTTCTTCAAGTGATGCACTGATTCCATCTTGTGAATATCTGTTTTAGTGCTGCATACACATGTGCTCTGCATGTGTTTGTGTTCTTGCTAGGAAGAAAAAGGGAAACATCATAATCCATCCAATTTTTGTTGCAGTAGCTCTGATTTCTAGTATGCTGTAGCTGATTAAGGTGGCTTAGACTTAGACATCATCCCTTTTGAATATTCAGTTTGATCAGTGCTCTATGGATTCCTAGCCTAAGTGGCTTGTTTGGAGATAATTGCTTCAGTGCATAGCTTGATTAGATATAACTTGATTTTCTTGTTCATTTGTGCTCAAGGCATGCCATACTCCTGTTGTCATGCATATGTCGCATTTAAGATTGAAAATTCTTTCAGTCAAGGTAGCTAATCACTGACTTGATGTTTTTTCTGGTTTAGCAATTTCCATAGTATCCCAAGATTGTACAAGATTTGGATATTCCTACATACACCAGATCCACTTTTTGCATTTTGCTTACTATAATCATGTGTACTGCCATTTTTCTCTCATCCCCCCAAAATACCACTGTTTTCACATTTAGGGATATGCAGATGGTAGATATTTTTTACTTTGGTTGTTTCTAGTTGTATCATTACCAAAATATCTAGTTCTTTTATTTATCAATTCGATTAATATTACAATAAGACTTTCTTCCAAATTGATAACTGAATCTGTGATGTTCCTTAACAGTGAATGCCCTCAGGAAGCATTGGAATCTGTGTCTACTCTAATATTTGCTGCTGCTAGATTTCCTGATTTGCCTGAACTGTGTGACCTCAGACATATATTTACAGAGAAATATGGGAGTTCTGTCGAGCCTTTTGTTAATTCTGAGGTGCTGAAATTGCTTTTACTTTTCTTATATTTGAGCTGATCTCCATCGTTTGGAACATATGGATTAACTTAACTTTTCTGTGAAACAGTTTGTTCAGAACCTCCAGAGTAAATCATTTACTAATGAAGAGAAGTTGCGAGTAATGAAACGTGTTGCTGAAGAGTTCTCAGTTCCATTTGATAGCAGGGCATTGGAATGGAAGATAACTTGTGGCTCTCAAAATAAGCATGTAAGGTTTTAGTAAACCTTTTGCATTATCAAATACATGCAAGGACTTACCAAAGGAATAATCATTTGGTAAGCATATATGGGTCACTCAATTCTAATCTTCACATTCTTTTGCCATCAGGATTTTCCAAAGAAGAGTTCACTTAAACAGGAGATGGAAGCATCAGCACGAGATGGACACAAGGTTGATAGGCATGCTGTTCATGAAAGAAAAACTAAAGCTATGCCTGAAGGCTATGAACAGAAGCAGGAACAAAACGTAAAGCCCAAAGATATCCATGTTGTTCCTGATGGCATTGGTCAGCTAGGCGAAAAAAGCAGAAAGAAGTACTCAGATAAACCTAGTGAGAAAAGGCACATGGATAATCCTTTGCCTCCTTTGGACATGAAAGAAAAGAATGGTCAGAAAGAAATGAAGAAATATGACAAAAAAGATAGTCACCATCGGAGGGAACTAATGGACGCGGAGGTGTTGGACCTCAATGGCTTAAAAAAACAGGATGTTGGTGTGGTGAAACTTTCTGGTGGACCTGATCGTAGTTGGGGACATGCTGACTTGGGGCTTAAAACTCTGGGCCTAGAAAAGGAAGAAATTGATTCAACTGGCACCTTGAATGGTAAAACAGTGAACAAGGCTCCTCCTTATTCTAAGCCCTACAGAGTATCAATGGGTGAGAAGGTTGCTGAAGATAGGCAAGATAGACAGCCTGTGCCAGAGAAGGCAGCCAATATGCGTCCTCCTTATGTTAAGCCAAATTTTGAAAAGCATGCAAATCAAGGTGCAAATGGTTACAAGCATAGTGGCGCTGAAGAAATAGGCCACCAGAAGCGTGAACCGATTTATGACCCTGTTTCGGTCAGAAGTAGGATTCCAAAACCACCTGCACATGTTGATGATTACGCTGGAATGGCTAACGAGGAAAAGATGGCAAACCAAGCACCTGATGGCCGAAGAAGACATTCAAGCAAGAGGAATGGAGCCTATGACAATTATGACCATAAAGGTGGTCATGTGCTACCCATAGAAGGCATGGGGGTCGATGATGATATCAACAACGCAAGGCCTTTTCACCGGATTCCTAGTGAGCGGAGAAAGCACAGAAGCAGGCGGAACGGATCGACAAGTGGCAGTGACTACAATGGGGCCAGCGAAGACCACGAGTCAGATGGTGATGATGTGAATACAGCAATTGACTTCGGCAATCTGCTGCCCCGAGCCCCTAGTTCACATAGGAAACACAGGAGTCGGAGTGCTGATCCTCGCAAGGGAGGCCGTGATGATGAGGAAAAGATGATGGATAAGCTTCTGATGCACTACAGCAAGAAAGGGCTGGACAGGGAGGAGCACAAAGAAAGAGTCAAATCCCGGATCCCGCGGCCTCGAGCTGATCAACGTGCTGATGATGGAGCTGGAGAACTGTCTAATAAAGAAGGGGCATCTGCACATCGTCCTGAAAGAGCTGTATCTCTACCTTCAGAATCCGCAAGCCCAAAGGCGAAGCCGAAGTCGAAGGCCCCTGTTCGGTCCTTGTCCATGCAGCCAGAAATGTCAAGAGGGAATGTGCATCCAAGTATGCCAGATTTCGACGAACTGGCTGCCCGGATCAGTGCTCTGAGGAACGCATGAGCTGCCACACGACTGTCTTCTGCAATGCTTCTGTTCTTTCAGGAACTTGTACCATGGAATCTGAAATCTGATGGTGCCTGCGAGTCATGGGAATAAGAGGACGCTCGAGATGTAATCGGCCTGCTCTTGCAGCATTTTATCTTGGTGGTATACTTGGTTGTGTTGCTCGGAGTGTGTCTTGGTAGGGTATTGTCATCAGGAAGAGTTAAATGTGGCAATTCATAGGGATACCATATTCTATACCAGTAGTCAGCTACAACGATTTGGATGTGGTTGTCATTGTTGTACTCATAGAACAAATATTGTTGGTGTATAGATGCCCATTGATGCGGCTATGATGATAAAGGAATCTCTTCTTCTTTTTTATAGTTTTTCCTCCATTTGTTGATGAGGTTGGAGCAGATGCCATTTTCTTGAGCAACCTGTTCGTTTGGGTTTGTTTAGCTTATAAGCCATGACTGAAAGTACTGTTGGTTGATTTGGTGTGAGAGAAAAATACTGTTTGTTGGCTTATAAGCCGAATACGACCGAGCGAACAGGCTGATTGTCTGATTCCTTATTTAATTTCTCCTGGGGGAGGAAGGGCATGTGACGGTTGCCGCATCTAGCGGTGCCGACGCCGAAAGCTTCTGCTCAGCAGAGCTGCAAAATCATTCTGGGCACGTTCTTGCGTCGTGGATTCGCGAGCAATGACTGCCAACTATATTCTTCTTTCTTGAATATTACAACCAGTCTTTTACATTTACTAATACAGGAAAAAACAATTGGGATCTTCGAACCAATCTTATTACTGCTGTACGACTGAATTTTCAACCAAAGCAACCGCTGGCCTTGTTTCAGTATTATTTATTTGGCAACTGCTCCGGTACTCCCTTTTTAAAAATAGCACGAATCCCAAAACAGGCTATTGAAGAAATTAATTACTTTATATTATTTTGCATCTGGGTCCTGCCTAGGCCCAGCACGTCCTAGCCCAGCCCGAGGCCAGCCCTGATCCATAGTGGAAGTAAAGTGTGTGCAAGTCTCCGTGACTCAGTCTTCAGTCCGACGTTTCTCTCGCGGCTTGCTTCTTCTTCCTTTCCTGAGCAGCGGCGGCCGGCGGACCGAGCCAAGTGCCGCGCCTCCTTCCCCCTCCTACCTTGCCCCCACCGCACCATGCGCCACCGGCCGCCCGCGCCCCACCGAACGTAGATGGTTTCTCCAAGAAGAGGTACGAATCATTTGCCGAGAAACGGCAATATAAGTGCACTGTATGCAAGCAGCAGGGCCATAACATGAAAACATGTGTCAAACAAGTAAATAATTTAAATGTAATATATATGGTTTACATGCTTGTGCTGAAGACTGTGCTGGCTGTGCTATCTGTGATGTGTGTGCCTGTATAATAGGAGGGTAAAAGTGACTTTTTTTTTCTTTTTTTCTCAGGTGCAACGAGGGTGCGACTGATGATGAATCTTCCAAACTCGGACTGGAGGAGAGGCTGCGGACGATCTACTAATGCTGCATTGGATGCCAACTGAAATTCAGCAATAGCTCGCGTACAGATCCTACGAGGGGCCAACTCATTTGCAACTTCATGTCCCATTTTGATGCTATTTGGTGCCAGATTAATAATTCTTGTATCCTGGAAACGTTTCTACACTTAATGATTTGGTTGTATCTTGGAAACGTGTCTACAGTTTTATGATTTGGCTTCATCCTCTACTTCAACCAATACAGTCAGCAGGTCAAGATGAACTTATACTAAGTAACGGCTGCACAAAAGTTTTTACAACTTGTTTATAAGTAGTTGCTGTCCGGAAGGAATTAGTTTCATGAATTCATTACTCAGATACTCAACAATCGCTTAGAACAACACCTCCAAATTTGTGGAGTAGAATCATGAATAAAAGAAATAGGCCTTGTTTAAATCCAGTGGGTAAAGTTTTGGGGTATCATATTGGGGTGTTGCATGGGGTATTCGGATACTAATAAAATAAATAAATTACAAAATTCGTCAGTAATCCACGAGACGAATTTATTAAGCCTAATTAATCCGACACTAGCACATGTGTACTGTAGCACCATATTGTCAAATCATGTACTAATTAGTTAAATTAGTCGCAAACTATGTAATTAGTTATTTTTAGTCTATATTTAATACTCAAACATTCGATTGATAGGGAGTAAACTTTAATTTGAGGAACTAAACAAGGCCATATTTTATGGCCAGGTTTCTGGCCATTCTATTCTAAGGCCTAGGCTGCTACCTTAACAAGTACACGTGAGCACAATGCCATCTGTACATATCTTCTGTCCTGCACCTGGTTTCAGATTTCTGGCAATCATTGCAGATACTTGCATTGCAGAAGATCAGCAACGAAGCTGTTGGTTCACTTGGTACTAAGATATACAAGCTTGCATGTCTTTAAGAAAGCGTCTAGCAGTTGCATACAAAGGCAACCATGTTAACGTTTTTGATGTTCTGAATATTATACCGGCCATTGCAAAATACATGGATGCAAGGCATCCCCAAGTGAGGTACTTACACTAGGATGCTGCTGCAACGTAGGAGAGTATTGTTAGTTAAATCTTCAGGTCCAAATATGCAATGGAAGATTTAGAAATTGCAGTAACTTGGTGTTCAGCTCTTGAAAATCAAATACCAGCCGGTCAGGTTATACTGCGACTGGCATAGATGAAAGTCTGCCCTGCCCGGTTGCCGAGCCTGCAGAGACATGGGGCTCTATCTGTAGTATCTGTAAAATACAAAATAAATCTAAACATTTGCTTAAAAAAAAAACAAATCCAAACAAACACGGTAGCATCTGATTTTTTCACTATCCGAAATCTAAACAAACATCGCCGGCTCCAATCGTAACAAGAACGATCCTATCAGGAAAGATTACATTTTTCTCCGGACTCACCCCATCCATAAGAATCACAACTACCTGTGCAATCAACAGCCTGTTCGGGAGGCCGTATCGTATCATGGATTATTTACTGCTGGCTGGTTTAGTGTGAGAGAAAAACACTGTTCCCGACTGGAAATTTACGATCGTTTACGAGCAAGCGAACAGGCTGCAAATCCTAACAAAAACGATCCTATCCGCAAAGATTACATTCACGGACTCTGATCTGTAAGATGAACCCTATATATATATCTAATGGCATGCAACCTAATATAAACGTGTTAGCATCAGAGAAGGGAAGGATTGGGAAGGAAGAAGGGAAGCAGGGGAAACACGCCAGATGACGGAAGGAGGAAGCTTAGTATTGAGTTTTCGTTCTGATATGTTCTATCCCCCTCGGTCTCTCTCTCTGTTCCTATGTATACAGGCCCTTGGCCCTCGGCGTGAATCACACAGGCGCAGCTGTGTCTAGCCTATGATTCACGCCCACTCATGTCCACCGAACCGCACACTGGCGCGTCGGATGCGGCTGCCTTTCCTTGGTTCAGGTTGGGTCCGGTTCATCGAGCCCGTGACGCGTTCAGGTGCTCCTTTGTCCTCCTGGTTGGTGGGTGACTCAGGTTCGGCTTCCTTGGTGATGCTGACATCCCCTCCCTGACGAAGACCTGCTTGTCCCCAAGCAGGAGCGCGAGGAAACCTTTGCCGGAGAGCTTTAGTGTCTTCCCAGGTGGCTAGTGATCAGGGCAGATTGGACCATTGCACGAGCACCTGTGGTACGACGTCGTGGTCGGCTGTGTGGATGCGCCTCTGGAGAACCTTCAGTGGTATCTGCAGCCCGTCGAGAGTGTGGGGAAGATCAGCCACCGAATGAGATGTAGGTACTGCCGTCTTGAGCTGGGACACATGGAAACGGGATGAATAGCTGAATTCTCCGGAAGCTTGAGCTTGTACACGACGTCGCCCACACGTCCGATGACCTGAAACGGGCCAAAGAATTTGAAAGCTAGCTTTTGATTAGCGCGCGCAGCCAAAGAGGTTTGAACATATGGCTGCAACTTGAGGTACACCCAGTTGCCCACTGTAAATTGGTGTTCGGAGCGAGATTTGTCAGCTTGTGTCTTCATGCGCTGCTGAGCCCGGACGAGGTGCTGCTGAATGAGTGTGTTCGTCATGGATTTTTCCTTCATCCAATCATCTAGAGGAACCGAGGAAACAGAACTGTCTTCAGAGATCCCAAAGTGTTGAGGGTGATGACCATAGAGAACAAAGAATGGTGAATAGTTCAGTGAAGAATGCCATGTGGTGTTGTACCAATACTTAGCCAGAAAAATCCAATCGAGCCACTTAGCTGGACAGGAACTGACAAAGCAACGCAAGAAGGTTTCCATGCATTGATTCACACGCTCCGTTTGCCCGTCGGTTTGAGGATGGTAAGCTGAAGACATCCGAAGAGTGACGCCGGCCAAATAGAAAAGCTCTTGCCATAGCTGACTGGTGAAAACCTTCTCGGTCCGAAACGATTGACAATGGCAGACCATGGAGGCGGTACATATTGGTGATAAATGTCTTGGCCACTGTAAGAGCAGTAAATGGATGAGCCATTGGGATGAAGTGTGCATACTTGGAAAAACGATCGACAATCACCAGGATACAATTCTTGCCCCCAGACGGTGGAAGGCCCTCCACAAAGTCCATCGAAATGCTTTGCCATGCCATACTGGGAACCGGTAAAGGTTGGAGTAGGCCGGGGTATTTGGCGCGATCGGGCTTGGCTTGCTGACAAGTAGAACATGCAGCCACAAACTGGTGAACAGATGATTTTAGACCTGCCCAGGTAAAGAGATGCTTGATGCGTCGATAGGTGGCAGGAAATCCCGAATGACCGCCCACTGGTGAAGAATGGAAAGCCGTGATAATCTTGTGTTGGAGAATCACATCAGGTCCAACCCAAATACGTCCCTTGTACCGAAGCAGCCCTTGGTGCATAGAGAAGTTATGTTCAGAGTTGGCAGAGACAGCTAGCTTAGTCATCAGCTCTTGAGCCCGAGCATTAGATGCATAACTCTGGATGATGGCGTCGAGCCAGGAAGGCACTGGGGCTGAAATGGCAGATAGCTCCTCTGGGTGGCCTATGCGAGAAAGTGCATCTGCAACCCGATTGTCAGTACCCGGCTTATAGACTATTTTGTATTGCAAGCCCAACAATTTTTTGAAAACCTTCTGTTGCCATGCAGTGTGAAGGCGCTGATCACTTAAATGGATGAGGCTCTTGTGATCGGTGAAAATGACAAACTCACCGAGCTGCAAATATGAACGCCACTGATCAACAGCAATGATGATAGCCATGTACTCTTTCTCGTAGGCTGGCAACCCTTGATTCTTCGGTCCGAGAGCTCGACTCAGGAAAGCGAGTGGATGGCCCTCCTGAAGGAGCACGGCACTGACCCCATAGTGAGAAGCATCAGTCTCAATACATAATTGCCGCTTGAAATCAGGAAGGGCCAGCACTGGAGCAGAGCTCAAGCATTTCTTCAGAGTTTGGAATGCTGTTTCATGTTCAGTAGACCAAACGAACAGCGAGTGCTTCTTCAACAATGCTGTCAGCGGCTTTGAGATGATTCACGCCCACTCATGTCCACCGAACCGCACACTGGCACGTCGGACGCGGCTGCCTTTCCTTGGTTCAGGTTCGGTCTGGTTCATCGAGCCCGTGACGCGTTTAGGTGCTCCTTTGTCCTCTTGGTTGGTGGGTGACTCAGGTTCGGCTTCCTTGGTGATGCTGACAAAACGTACCGCACGTGGCGTCCGCCTCCGCCGTCGCCGCCGGATCCACTTCCGCCTCCGCCGTCGCCGCCGGATCCGCCTCCCGTTTCCTTCGTCGCCGATACGGATCCAAAGTGCAAGGCCTGGCTGCTGCGCAACTCGGGGAGGGCAGTAGGGAAGGGCGGGGTGGAGGGGAATGGGGAACTCAGGGAGGAAACAGGGGAAGGGTACGGAGGGGAGGAAATGATGATAAAATAGTGATGGATCTGTTTTTCACTCGCTCTCGATATATTTATTGTTGAATTGATTATTCCATGGGTAGTTTAATTTTAATCATTATTAATTCTGTGCGTAAGATTAGTGATTGATTCTTAAGATCTATTTTTTCACTTGCTCACGATATACTCAATTATTAATTCTGTTGCATTCCCTAAGATCAGGATTAATCATTACTAATTTTCTGTGCACGCCGTAAGATCATCATTACTCGTTACATCCGATAATATTTCTTTCCTAGTTTTACGATACACTGTTTTATGGTAAATCTGTTATTCAAAATCTTTATTCCTGCATGTACAGTAGACTTATTTTGTCTCTCTTTATTCTTGCATCTAGTGTAGATTTGTTTGATCTCAGAAAAAATGTCAGACAATTATGGCGACATCCCTTGGCCGGTTGAGCGTTTTTGGCATATAGTGGATAAATTAGACCGTGACCAGAAAAGGAAAATTGTAGCTTTTGGACTTGCATGAATGCTGTATATTAGACCCATTAAGGGAGTCTTATTCAGTTTTTACTACAAAATTACGATGCTAAGGACGAATGTCTCAGATTTGGTCGAAGTTACTTATGATGATGTTGAAGACATTATGGGACTATCCAAGGCATATGGTCGCATAGTAGATCCTGATGACTATTACACAACATGATTTGCCAAAGGGTTTTCGATATTCCTATGGTCTGTATGGATTTAGAATTGATATTCCTGTGCCCAGCGCCGCGGCGGGCGGTGGGGCGCGGGCGGCCGGTGGCCCGTGGTGAGGTGGGGGCAAGGACGGAGGGGGAAGGAGGCGCGGCACTTGGCTCTGTCCACCGGCCGTCGCTGCTCGAGAAAGGAAGAAGAAGCAGGACGCGAGAGAAACAATGGCGTGAAGACCGAAGACGGAGTCATGGAGACTTGCACACATGTTACTTCCACTATGGATCAGTGCTGGCCTTGGGCTGGGCTAGGACGGGCTGGGCCCAAGCGGGACCCAGGTGTAAAATAATATAAAATAATTAATTTCTTTAATTGTCTGTTTTGGGATTTGCCCTATTTTTTTTAAAAAAAAGCGAGTACGGGAGACGTAGCCTATTTATAAATAGAAAAATAAAAGAAATCGTGGAAGTACTCTTTTTTTTCCTCTGTGATTTTGATGGGTTCAGATACCATTGACGCCGAGGCCAAACTGCTAGGTAGGTCATACTAGTTTGTCGATCAATACAGGGAGGAAGAAAAAAAAGAAGGGGAAGCAAAGTCAGCAGCGCATGTCTTGAACTCCGGTGGGTCGTGCAGGGGCAGATGTGGCTAGCCCAAGGACCTCATGACGCCGACGACGAAATGCAGGATGCAGTCGTCGTCGCCGCCGTCGAGCATGTCGTCGCAGACCAGGCGCTCCAGGGCGGGGTCCCTCGGCAGCGCCCCGGCGTGGTACAGCGCGGTCGCCGCCGTCTCGGACACCGGCCGGGTGGCCAGGCACGCCGCCAGCCGCGCGACCGCCCGGAGGAACAGCGGCAGGAGGCCCTGCGCGTGCCGCACGCAACAACGCCGACGCGTTAGCAAACTAGCTAGAGCTAGCACAAAACGCAGTGAGAAACCACGTGCTCACCATGCGAGATTGTGGCCGCCCGGCTGCGTTCGACGATGCATGTGAGATCTCAAGCGCTAGCTCGCCTCCGGTGTTTATATATATACAAGTAGTAGGTAGCATCGGAACCATCTACTGGGAGGCGGAGGCTGCAAACGGGCGGCGGTGGCAACGATGGGCGCCCATTGTCACGTTGGGCACCGGCAGTTGCTTGTTTGTCTCTGTGTGTTTTTCCTCGCCTGCCTGAATCTATTAAAGTTTATTTAGCTGTGCTTCTCCAGCTCTCGGTTTTGGTTGCTCTTCACCTGAGTGGCTGCGTTTTTCCTCGTCGGGGTCGCAAAGCCCCGACGTGATATATTTTCCGACGCTGACATAGTTGACAGCGACCGGCTTGAGGAACTTGGCATTTGGTAAATTGGTATGGAACCTTTCAATTGTATTATCTCAATTTGTCTGTCTGGCAACAAGAAAGGCCGGTCCACTACCACGAAGCTAGTGAAGAAATGGCAGTATGCTGTGGGAAAACTTGTGGAATGATTCAATTCCAAAATGGCAATACCCCCACACCTTTACTCCTTTGCCAAAAATAAGTCCATCACCATCTTTGAAGCAAAGAATACAGAGCATTTTCACAATCTGTTCCATTTACACCCATTCACCGCATTAAAGGACACCCTGAATATCCTAGAGCTGCAGGACAATCATAATTCCTAGACTTAGGGGATGTTTGAAATCTAGGGACTAAAATTTAGGAGGTGTCACGTGAGGGGGTCGCATGGGCTGTTTGATACTAATAAAAAAACAAATTACAGAATCCGTTAGTACTCCACGAGACGAATTTATTAAGCCTAATTAATCCATCATTAGTACATGTTTACTGTAGCACCACATTGTCAGATCATGAACTAATTAGGCTTAAAAAATTCATCTCGTAAATTAGTCGCAAACTATGCAATTAGTTTCGTAATTAGTCTATATTTAATACTCCATGCATATGTCCAAACATCCGATGGGACAACGACTAAAGTCTAGGAGGAGCAACCAAACGCCCCCTTATACTGGGGTTCGAGCAACTTCTCCTCAAAAAGGGCCTACAATCATTTAAGTGGAAGCATGCCGGCCCATCCAGATCGAGCATTCCAGTGGCTGTGGAAAAGTTCCTATCAAAATAAACACAAGATCTTCTTTTAACTACTTATGAAGGATAGAATAGGGGGTGTTTGGTTCTTTAGTCACTCCTAAAATTCATGTCACATTGAATATTTAGATACTAATAAGGAGCATTAAATATAGATTAATTATAAAATCAATTACATAGATGGAGGCTAATTTGTGAGACATTTTTAAGCCTAATTAATCTGTCATTAGCACATGTTACTGTAGCACCACGTTGTCAAATCATGGACTAATTAGGCTTAAAAGATTCGTCTCGCAAATTAGTTGCAAGTTGTGCAATTAGTTTCGTAATTAGTCTATATTTAATACTCCATGTATGTGTCCAAACATTCGATGTGACAGGAATTTTAGGAACACATAAAGAACCAAACATGGCCTGAGCACAAGAGACTTACTAAGAAGAAGAAGCATGGAGCTACTAGACTACAACTGTGTCTTATGCAACGCAAACACAGCAGAAACCACAACTCACCTGTACATCACTTGCAAATTTGCCTCACCCTGTTGGGAAAAAATTGGGCTGCATGTCACTGCAAACTTAAGCCCACAGCAAAACCTGGAACGGCTGAAGACTCAGATCAACAATCCCTTCTTCATGGAAATCACAGTATTGATGTCATGGGCAATTTGGATGTGCAGAAACAACAAAATCTTCAAGAACACCACTCCCACAGTTCAGATTTGCTGGGCAATTTTCAAGCTTGAGATATCTTCGCTCCTATGGCGTGCGAAGAGGAAGATTCTACCTTTACTACAATGATGCTGATACCGGACGCATCGCTAATGACTGGCACCTCAACATGTCCGCCCACACGTTCACTGGGCCCATACCAACATCACTCACGAGGATGGTGCTCCACAATCTGCGTATTGGCTTCAACAAACCTCAATGGCAGCGGCCCTATGTTCTTGGGCCCTATGTCACAACTCAGGTCACTAGAGCTTGGCTAGAGCCCCATTGTGGCTAGTTTGAAAATTTCAACCCCATCGGGATCCTGCTTTTTTCTCCGCAGTAGACAATTCATAGACATGCCATTTTAATTACCCACTTAGTCCTATATAAGAGGCTTTCCATTTTTGGGTTTGCCTTCCCCTTATTTTCAAATTAGGCCTTGGTGGGCGGTTGCCCCCTGTTCTCAGTAGGCTCTGTCTGCTATAGCGCCTTACATCAAGGGCGCAGGGATTGTGAGCACTCTATCCTTTTTTTAAGAACATGCTTAGGTGTGTATTTCATTAAGGGATGGGCGGTCTATCACTAGAGCTTGGCAAACTTAGGCAGCTCAAGTTCCTCGACTTTTCCGCGAACAAGCTCGTCGGGACCTTATCAACATTGCTTGCAGGGATGAAGAAGAGGCGAGAGTTTAACATTTCATCAAACAAGCTCATTGACGATACCCTGAGGCTTCTCTTTGTAAGCTGACCGGACTTATTCTCATTCCAAGTCCAAGGGCAATATGTTTCACCGGTAATACTTATTCTCATTCCAAGTCCAAGGCAATATGTTTCACAGGGAATATTCCACCCGAGGTCAGAAAGACAAAGGAGCTAGAGATTGTGAACCTCTTTAGCAACAATTTCACTAGCTTTATCCCACGGAATTTGGGGAGTTGGAGAAGCTGCAATAATTAGATTTGTTGAAGTCGGTCACGGGGTTGTTCCTTAATTTGGCCACCAAGCTAACAAGCCTGACACTCCCCTCTAACGCACTTAGAGGTGAAGTTGCACTATGATTAGGGGGTAAGGGGCAAATGCACCCCCAAATTTTGAAAAAATCAGTTATAATGGTTAAAATCCCACCATATATATATGCACCCTCCATGACAAAGTCTCTATGTATCCATAAGGCAAGTGCATCCCCATTCAATCTCTAGATTCGCCATTGAACGCACTCACCAACACGATCGGACCTTGGCGTAGGGCTGGATTTGGTTGTAGCTAGCTTCTCCAACAATAGTTTTTCTAGCGAGCTGCCCTGAGCCTTTGCGATGGCTTCGTGCTGCATAACCTCACATTCCATAACACCATGAAAGAGGTGTTTCATGGGTTTCCAGTTGATCAGGTTGGATCGACTTATTACAACATTACACATCCGTTGACTCAAGGGACTAATCAAACCGGTACCAGCTGTCAAGAAGCTGCACCAGCTGGTAATGATGATGTCCAGATAGTTCAGAGTTCATCTGAGCGAGCTCAAGGTGCTACTACGAATCAGACACAGTATAATCCTGGATCGTCAGTGCAGCATGTGCAACAGCCGGCGGGGCAAAGTCAAAACCAGATGATTAATTTTGGCACATCAGGCCACATACCGTCGTCGGCTTAAAAAATAGCACCGTCAATTCAAAGGATCCGTAGAGATATAGATCCCAACGTCTATAACCAGAGACTCCAAGTAGCGAACCAGCAGAGGACCCAGCAGATAGAGATTCCACAAGGGTATCATTATGGCACAGATTATAACACCCTTCACATGATTCCGAATCCAGGGTATCAAGGCACATGGGATTTCAATCCACAGATGGGTTAGCAAGTACAGAGAGATCCAAATTCACATGCTGACGAGTTGTTGCTAAAGATGACCGAGATGATGAAAAATCAGTTCGGTTTAAAGCCAAAAGGGCTGACCTTCTCGTACAAGCGCCCATATTCAGAATGGTATGATTTGGTCGCTCTTCCTGTAAATTACAGGATCCCAGAGTTTGCTAAGTTCACTGGCCAAGACAGCACAAGCACAATAGAACATGTCAGTCGGTATCTTACACAGTTGTGCGAAGCATCCGTTGAAGAGACCCATCGAGTTTGTTTCTTCTCCTTGTCCCTGTCGGGGCCAGCCTTCACTTGGTTTTCATCACTGCCAGTCAACTCCATTGTCAATTGGACTGACTTGGAAAAGAAATTCCATACATATTTTTATATTGGGACTGGAGAAAAGAAGATTACCGATTTCACAACTATAAGGCAGAAAACTAATGAATCGGGCATTGAGTTTCTTCAGAGGTTCCGAAAGACTAGAAATTTGTGCTTCTCATTAAACTTGGCTGATGATCAGCTAGCTGCTTTGGCGGTTTAAGGGATGCTGCCAACATGGAAAGAAAAACTGTTGGGACAAGAATTTGACAACTTGAGTCAATTGGCTCAACGAGTGGCAGCGCTCAATAGCCAATTCCAGAGTATGCGCAGAGATACCCGATTCCAGAATAATACCACAGTGGCCGAAGCTTATAATCCATATTCGGTCGATGATGGCTATGAAGATGAAGAAGAAGAGGTTGTCGCGGCTGAATGAAATTGGGGTAAAAAGCCAGTAATGGTATCCAATCCTTGAGGAAGAGGAGTCGAGGAGCGCTATGACTTTAACGTCACAAAATCAGACAAACTCTTCGATATCTTGCTTGAGAAGGGACAGATCAAGTTGTCCGAAAATCATGTTATGTTGCCCCCTGATCAGTTGAAGAATAAGAAGTTCTGCAAGTTCCATAACGCTACTTCTCATTCCACTAATGAATGCAGAATTTTTCGGCAGCATATACAGAGGGCTATTCAGCAAGGAAGACTCAAATTTGATACGCCTCGAAAAATAAAAGTTGATGATAATCCTTTCCCAGGAGATCAAAACATGGTCGATGCTAGGCTGCTCAAAGGAAATACTAAGGTGCTAACATCAACCAAATCAAGAGAAGCCAGAACAGTCGATCCCAAGATGCAAATATCGGCTGATGAATACAGAGAAATTAGAAGACGTCGCAACAAGCAAAAGAGCCAATATGAACAGGGAGAAACGTCAAAAGGTGGGGTGACAAAGCCGCAGGTTACATCTCAAATTCTGTTGAATAAGTGGCAGCGGTAGA